TTTAAAGGATAAAACTAAAGCCTTATGCTTCATCCTTTATGCACTAATTTCCTATTCTTGTTCCCCCAGATGTGAAAGGCAATTTAATCGTAGCTATTTCTTTTCGGGAAGACCCACTTGCGAGCTTGACATGCATCTGGACTTCAATGCGGTTGCTTCTTACTAGATATCTTGTGGATGTGCAGTGAATATCAGCAGGATCCGCAACTTGAAAATATAGCCTAGGTCGGTACTGATAGTAAAGAGCAAAGGAAGAATATCTCAAAGAAGGTTGGATTATGTGGAACTCATAGTAAGTCTGAGCTCTTAAAGGTCCCTATTGGCTGGTCAAGATTGCTCATTCGCTCTCTCTCTACCCTAAGCTGCTCCACTTTCACCAACTGATTCCCATCGCTTGGGAATACACATGAACAATAGCTACCAAAGGTGATTTACCATGATGTTCGGGCGCCAAAACCCTGCTGTATATACCGCGCTTGTGTTGCTGCTCGATGCGGCAGACGCACCTTAGCTGGCATAATCTACTAGCTTTTGAAATTCTGGACAATCCTGTGGATGTCGCTGTGGGCGGGGTCTGCGTGGAGGCGTGAGTCTCATATGTGCCGCATTCTTCCCGAACCAGCAAAATAACGAACACAGAAAACAAGGTAGCTGTTGATGTCTTCTTTGGAACTTCTTACGAGCTTGGTAAATAGACGTATATTGGGCTAACAGATCAGGCGAAATCGCCTTCTTCAGAGCCTGCAAGGGTCCAAGGCTCACAACCCTACCGAAGTTCGAGATCAAAGTATCTCCAGCATAGACTTCTCAGGAGATTCTGCTGGTCCTGATTTGAACCGACTCACCTGCATGTGCCAGTCCCGATCTCAAAGGATGAACTCTGGTCTTTTCATTTATAACCTCATAAAGCCCTCCGATCACCAGCCTTCGGCTATGTTCAAAAAGTGATGAGGTCGCCGACTGAAAGCGCAGCGTGAACATGCTGCTAAGAGGTCTTGACAGAAAACAATTGCCCATTAGCCAATTAGGATCGACTGGAATGGCCTGGGCTCGTGTGCTGGGCCCAAAAAATGCATTTGTGCGCCTCTCTTCGTCGCGGTTTTAGTGCCATAAATTCCATTCTTTATGACCATTCGGAGAAAATGAATTATGGTCTGAATCTTCTTTTGTTAGTCTCCCAATGGAATTTTGCACTTTACTTTTTTGCTCACGAAGATTTGTCGTCGTGCTACTGATAACCCCACCCCTTTACCCTACCCTTTTCCAGCCCGGCGTTTTCAGTTGAGCCCAGCTTTTTGCTGAGACCAAATGCTCTGCTTAATCCGCTTCAATGGGGTCACAGTCGTTATTAATCTCCTCAAACAATTGCGCTCGTTGCCTCCAGTGGTTAAATGGCTGTCCCGCTGAGCACTTAACCTCGTGTCGGAGCGATGTTCTCGCGCATTATAGGACATCTTGAATAGCCGCGGGCCACGCCCACGGTTCCACCCATTTGCTTTTGTTTCTTTCGGCCATTAATCTTCGGCTCGCCCCACTAAACGTCATCAGACAGCCACAAGTTTATTAATCAAGATTCGTGGGTGGTCACCTGACCACACTCGTACTCACTGGAACATCGCCCTTCTTGAGATCGCCTATCTTAACTCTTTGATGGCATTGAGTTCTTGTTTTTTCCCAATTGCTTACTACCTTTTTCAGGTTCTTTACCTACCTTACCGTTTACGGCTGAGTAATTTGCCCACCCACTCTCGTAGAAGAAACAGTCTTGCTTGCTTACCTGGCAGTTCTACAAAAACACGGTAGCGCTAAATTTCCATTATCGTAATGACTTCATGTTTTCCTCTTTTCCGGAAGCTAACGCCAAAATGTTGACATTTAATTTGTGTGCCATTTTTTATAGCGCTGCCGCAGAACAATTAACTTGTTCTTTTATGACCCCTATTCGGAAGTAAAAGAAATGAAAAGGATAATTTGCCGGGAACATTCGTAATTGTAGAGGCCGAAATCGTGTGAACGGTGTTTAAAACGTTTTATTCGGGGCAGGCTACATATCTTCTACCATGGATACTGTATCGATCGCCGTATCGATTTGTTCACCTGTACCTTAAAATTGATGGTTTGGTACTAACAGTTGTTGTTGTTTTGTATTATTCCTGTTATAACGGCCATTCTCCCTCTGGGAGTATGGCCGTTATAACAAGAATAATACAAAACAACAGGTTGGGACGACATACAGCTTACCACAGCTTACCAATCGAGTCCCTTCCAGGCCAACCAAGCCTCTCATCTTTTTGGCATCGGTTGAAGGATTCAGAATTTCTTAAAAAAAAAACTTAAAAAACGCAGTCATTTGCAGTGAATCGCATTGATAGCAACTCATTTCGTAGGTCAAATCCTACTCAAGGGTCACTGAGGTTCTAAAGCAAATAGAATGTGTGGCGCAGCACTCTGAGAAAAATGATTACTGGCAAATACTTTTTTGATCCACTTTCTTGTCCTTTCTCGCGTTTGCTGTTTGAGGGTTACTGATATTTGTTTGTTTATTTATTTATTTAAAAATACACTCACGATAGTGTGCCCATTAAGTCAAAAATAACATCACCAAGCAGAAAGAAACTTGCTATCATATAGACCCGGAGCTGATACCGCAACAAAACACAAAAGGGAAAGCAGAAAAAAACACAAAAAAACCCAAACAGTGAAATCATAAATCAAGACAGAACGTCCCAAATAAGTGATAAGAAGTCCATAGTATTCTCAAAAATGTACCAGACAAATAGACTGTCAACTGATATGCTTATTCCTGAAGCTCCTGTTTCACCGACGGATTTGTAATTGGGTGTTCCCTGCCGGAGCTCTTTAACCTAGTTTTAAGGCTCTCTGAATTGTTTTTAGAGGCTCTAAATTCGCAATGTTCCTCAGTGACTTTTTGTCCTGATGAGGAAAGACTGTCACATTGCCCTGTTCTTGTGTTCCTTAGACCTATGTTTTCAACTGATGGTCATTCCTTTGCCGAGAGATTTGATTACAGCTCTCTTCGGCTTCTTATCTTTTTTCAATTTTGAAATGAGAGATGTAATTCTTCAGCGCTCGCTATTAAGCGCCTAGAGACGTCCGCTTGCTCACCGTGCACGCATAGCTGGTGTTCATAAGCTCGCTCGTATCTGATTTTTTGGTATTCACCAGATTCTCCATCTCCCGCTCTCACACAGAAATCCTAAATTTGAAAGGTGTGTGTTGGCCTCCCACCCGCTCGATGGGTTTATAAACTTTGGAAGTGGTGTAGTGGCAAGTGGCACGCTTACCACGCGAGCGGTCCGGGGATCAAATCCTGGGTCGTGAGTCGCCCGGGCCAACCAAGCCTTCCATCCCTCCGGGGTCGGTTAATTGGTACCAGACTTGTCTGGGAGGATAAAAAACACTGACTTGTACATCGGCTGGCCCCCGCAAGTCATTGTATAGGCCACATCGCATTCAAACGCCACTACGAATGTACAAATGGAAGTAGAATGCGTGCCGCATCCCAAAAGGGATTGATCAACGGCAAATGCTTTATCCTTTCCTTTATCCTTGTAGCAAAGACAGCGATTGGAGACAGTAGTGGGGACAGACTTAATTACTGAGTTGATCTCATCAACTGCTGAGTTACTGGTACTCTGAAACCTGCAATTTTTCTTATAAAATTGTTGCAAAAATAAATGTGAGACCACTCCACCCATGCTTATTTTAATGAAGAACATTTCATCACTGAACGGAATGACTATCAGTCAGCTGGCTCTTCTGTGTTTGGAAGCAGGACAAAGCGTCCCTCTAATTCTAGCTTCAATACGAATTGCTGCAGAAAGTTAGCAGTGTAGATCGTCCCTGGTCAGGTCAAAGAAGTGCTAACTCATAGATATGTGAGATGGCCACTGGCCGGTAGCAAGCACCGCCGCTGCTGCTGCGGCTGCTGCCTTGCGGCCTAATCAGCATGTGTGGTGAGCCTAATCGGGATTCTCATTAATTTTGCCGTGTGGATGGGTGGCTGGCATGTGTGTGTGTGTGTTGGACATTGTCGAATGCAAATGATCGAGCCATTTCCAGCGCCTCTATCGATCTCAATTTTACTTTAGTCACGTAGTTGAAACTGAACGAGGACCTTCACACCGCCAAAGTCACTCTCATTAATCATTTTCGCGCTTTTTTCTACTCTAAAATTCTTTTATCTCAACCGCATGTGTGAACATTTTTCCTCTCGTCGCAGGGTTTTCGCCCGCTTTTTAGTTGACAGATTTGCTTAACATTTAAAACGCTTCTCTGAATAAATAGATAAATAATTTGATACAGCGAATTAATTAATTATTAATTTATACGGTGAACGCCGTCTCTGACTTTACCATAGCACTATATGACCAAATAAGAAGAGAAACTAGAAAATCCAGTCTCTAGAGTGCGCCATGCACTCGTATCACCTTTGTAGTTGCACATGATGATACTGTGCTATTAAGTACGGCATCAATTTGGCTGCTCATTTCTAGCATTTTCGTGTATCCGGTCAAACCAATGAAATCACTTTTGATATAACAATGGTTTCTGTAACCTATATTATATGCTTACATCTATTTATGCTTGACTTACTTTACCAGTTTTGGTACCATGATTGTAAAAGCGGACCTAGTCGCGTGCAGTCGCGACGCGTATGCTGACTGAATCGATATGCATCCCCTTATCGCATATTGCAGATGTAATGGGCCGGTGTCAGACTTTGCGAATCGCTCCATTCGCAGGTCTGACACTTCATATGTTGAGGGAACAAAATTTCATTTTGACCATTTACACAAAACCGTCTTCTTGCGAGTTAAAAATTGTTATCGTATCGCAATAATTTCTATTTTTATTAGCTTTTTATTTAAGCTACACATCTTTCAGGGCATGTTGGCCTCGTCGCCGATGATGACATCATCGAACGAAAAGTCGCGAAATCGAGCTGAACACACACCGGAGCGACAAATTTGAGCAAAATGTGGGTTGAAATTTTACATACTTTGAGGTTCAGAAAATATGAATAATTGCTTTGGTTTCACAAAGATTCGAATAATTAGTAATTCAATTATAGTTTTACTCTCATTTGAAAAAAAAAACAATGTTAAATTTTCCACGTGCCGTGTAAAACGGACGGCGTTCTAGAAATCTTTTCTTGTATTGCGATGGAACAAATAACTGCCGATTCGACTTCCATAGAGTTCCTTTTTCTTCCTTCTGTAGGGTTACTTTTTCCTTCAAGTCCACTTTCGAATTTCCGATTTCAAACTTTGAGGTAATCGAACAGTGAATTTCAGGATATCGTCGTGGACGCTTTGGGCAATGTGCTCAGTGGCTCTCCGGAAGCGCTGATTGCACGTCTACTGCCCACCCGAAACAGCACGGCGGACACTAACTACATGTTTAGTTTACTGCTAAACTTACGTACTGTAATGTCACCCGAGGAACTCATGCAAAAAATTGTGCAGGTAATTGAATTGACATTATTCTGAAATTTTTTTTTCGTTTCACGTCGAGTACTTGAAACTGGAGAAATGGTCTCCTCCGAAAAATATACAAGAAAATCAATCGGAGCAGGTATCAACAGTCGCCAATAAACAAGCCTACCGGCGGGTGCTCCTCAATCGAGGCGACTGAACAAATCGAGACTGATCAGGAAATCACCAAAAAAAGATCAAGAAAAGGAAAAAGAATAACCAACCACGATCATTCTAAAAATATCGCACTAAACAAACTACGTGCAGCATCTATGACCTTCACCGATTAATAGAGCAACAAAAGTAACACACAACCAAAGAACTTACAACTTCATTGTTGTCATCGCTCAAAACCATAAACAGCCAAGAAAACCAGAAGAAGACAAGATTAAACCCGTTCAAATTAGGCCCTACATCTGCTCTAACCATGTTTGACTGAAGGGAGTAAGTCATGTAGCATCTAGGATTCATTAATGCCTTCCATTGAATGATATATAACAAATAATTAGGATAAATGTTAACATTCATCCTATTAATATATGACTAATTAATCATTATACATTGGACATACACTAATACATAAAAGTAACAAAAAAACAATCAGCATAGATAATATTACAGATACTACAAATATACTCCTCACGATATACAGACAACACACAATCCATTGAATCAAGCAATATCACATAACAACTACATATACAGAGGACGAAAAACTAGAACATTAAGACTTCAGATACTTCACAAGGAGACAGACCAAGTATACTCACTCTGAGCACACCACAACAGGAGATCTGACAATAATAGTATACAACAACGAAAAAAACACAAACACCGACTAAGCACTAGTGCAATACGTACGACAAGTAATTAACCGAAGAATCGCACAAAAATATACACTAATATATTAGATATATTCACTATCTTCCTGTAAAAAAATTGACGACAAATACAACCACTCATATCGGGATACGTACGACATCGTGATTCTGACAAGGAAACCGCCGCAACTGGAAGTCACCTAGACTAAATCAAGCCGAGTGGAGGCGGCCTTAGGCTGCAGGAGCCTCTGGAAGGCCGTCTTCCGTGGGCGCTGCTCTCTCTCTGCTCTTCTTTTTCTAAGTTCAGCTGCTGGTTCAGCGAGAGAGCGGGGTTCAATACGAGATGCGGATAATGTACCGGGCGCATAAGCTCAAAACAGGATCGATATGATATATGTCCGTGGTCCAGCCAGTTCTCACAGGACGCTGTACAGAACATTACATGTCTCGCGGAGGTATGCCACCAACTCTTACGACCACACTACAAGGTCAAATCGGGCTCGCACGTCATCCTCTCCACAACTGCATCAGTGCAAGCTCGGTCGCTGGTAGATTGGAAATCTCCCCTTAGGACTGTGTGTACCGCCAAGACGACACCAACACTGTCTATAGACTGATGAGAGAGGTCTAATAAATACCATCCTCACATCTTCGGCGAGTTATGCCGGCTGTGGCGGTTAATCGGGAGACCTCCCTGAGCAATGTCTTCCGTCATATTCTCACCGGAAACCGAAATATTAGGGAAAAGTGTAGTCATTTTTATCTAATACGCAAAAACGCAGTGAGTGGGACTTGAAATCAAATATGAAATACTATGATATTTATGATGATGATATGAAGTACTGGCTAAGTTTAGATACAATATTATAACACAGAAGTACCTTTTTACTCTCTAGATATATTCTTAATTCTGAGGTAGGTTCTTCGGGAACAAGACGGGTATTAAGTATGACGAACAACATGTATGGTAACCTCAAGTGAGAGACTCGGATAATGCTGCAGAATAGAGAAATACGATGACAAAGATCGATAACCAATAATCAGAAGAAAGCCGCCACTATAGTCTACACACAATAATATCTAAAATGAGGAAAACAAAACAGAGGAATTAATATATAAACCCTGAGTTATCATATGGAACAGCATATATGGTATAATTCGCGCTCTACGACCATCGCTCAAGAGCTAAATAAACCTACATCTCTCAAAAAAACAAATACAGAGGAGAGAGGGGGGATGATTATTTCGCCAGACATAGAGGAAAACAGTCCATGTTACTAGCTCAGCCGCCCACACAATTCTTATCCAGCTCGCCTATCCTACCACACAGATTACGTAACGAATAAAATATAGATTAGATGACGCTCCAGAAACTCACGCAACAACAAGAGATATAAATAACTGGCATAGTGCAAGTTATATAAGAAGAAGATTCACAACAAATCGAATAGAATATAGAGGCTGCATTATTTTATTCTTTTTTTTCAGCAATGATGTTACACACCAGCACAAAAACGCACAGAGACTAGAAGGAACTGATAATAATTAATGACCAAAGAATAGAAAAGAGATCGAAAGATAGAATAGATAATCGCATAAACAATAGAATAAAAAGCAAAGTATAATAGAAGATAGAAAATGAAGGAATAAAAAACGAGAAATAACCCAAAGATAGAAATATAGAAGATAGAAGCAGTAAGAACAAAGGTAAAAAGAGATATATATAGAGATATAAATGAGAATATAAAAATATATGAAGGAGAGATTCTACGATAAGAAGCGCAAGATCGAGAAAAGAGAGAATTACAATAGACAATAGGTGACCACCGACTACCCTGAAGAAGAGTGCACCACGAGCCAAATCAAAAACACACAAAAAAACCACAAAAAAAAGAGAAAAACAAAAAGGGTGAGCAATGACGCGCAATTGGCAGCGAAAGATTTGACCTCGGCGATCTAGCATGGCTCACTCTTGGCGCGGTTGGCGGGTACGCCCACCGACTATCTAATCACTCGCCGCAGGTCTATACGTGGCGAGTGATTAGATAGCAGAGAGAGTGTGTTGTTTAGGGCACAGCGATGAGAGTCGTCAAGTGCGCAATAATCGAAGCAGAGAAGAGAGAGGATAATCTATAGAGTAGGGCTTTTTTCACATGTTTTCCTCTTACCAAACCTCACATGCTTACCGGACCACCTCTATCCTATTTTATAGCTAAGGAAGAATCCGCTCTTCATCGTAAAAATCTACCTTTAATTGCATTGGGGGACGCAGAGATGGGACGCATAAGTCCAGGCACTTCACATTGGAGGGCAGACATTTATGTGAAGTCCCTCCGCTCCTATTAACATGCTCATAAATTGACACGCAAACGTTATAATCGGGTTTTAGAATGCTGTACTTCATTCCATAGAGGTAGAATGTCTCTCAGTAACACATCATTGTGCCACTTTTTGAAAGATGGTACAGATCTTCCCCGCCCCGCTCACTGACGTCGTCAAAAGAATATTACTAGAAAGATTCAATGGTGAGATTTCCGAGATTAACACACACACCACCAATGAAACATTCAAAAAAAAATGGAGACCATAATGTAGGTTGATCATCAGAAAGTTCCGACGTATGTCACGGCAATGTTCGTTTGGCTAATCGATTGCAATCGATTGCACATGCTTTGAATTTGAATTCGCATAGAGGTTATGGATGGGCGCGACGAAAAACATCAGATTGCTGCAAAGGGGTGTTGCTTTGAGAGTGCAGTCGATAATGCATGGATTGATTGCCGACCTAGTCTTATCAATCTAGTATTATGTGATGCTACCAGTCTTAATAACGAATTATTTCATAATTTTTTCGTTTCATCGCTTGATAAACAACTTAACACATAAAACTAAAACCACACTTCGTGCTTGTTGATGATTTTTGTAGATTGCGGTGATCTCGGGATTGATTTGTGCGCGGTTGATCGAACGTACAAGCAACGAGCAGCTGAACTGCAGGCGACTCTTCGATCCACTGTATGTATTCAAGATTTAATTCAACATCCTTTTGTGTTACTTTGAACATTTTTCAACTCCTCCATATTTCAGCTGAACAAAATGGATCGATATAACAAAGCCGTGAAAAACCTTCAGAAAACTTTGAATGAGAACACACAGCGGCCAGTTCAATCGGATATCATGGTAACTTGCATAAACCTCAACTGCTACTTTGCATTGTTACGTGATTAGTGAAAATATGACGGAAAATGAAAATGGTGAAAAACTTGTAAGAACTGTGAAAGTTCTCACCAATGTGACCGGGGTAGTGTATTTCATGAGAAGGGTTGTCTGAAGATTTGGGGTTTGTCCGGCTCCTTCTGAGTAGTTTCAGGAATATCCGAGTAGTAGTTACGTAGTTTGTGATGCTTTTGATTTTCTCGATCTTACTTAGGCGGCACAGTTCACTCTCGAGGCAGTAGGCACACGTAAATTATGAGGTGTGGTGAGGAGTTAAGCCTTTGTTTCGGATTGAAGACTGTTTTAGGGTTGAGTGACATAGATCGCTGTTAATAAATAGTGCGCGCGAAAAGTTGGGGTATTTTTTTAGCTGAGGGAATGATATCATGACCTTAAAAAGGATGACGCCGTAATGATAATATAACTAAGTCTCATCACAATAAACAATGGCAAGACAGTATTATGCATCTCTGATACATGTGCCCGTGCGCACATCTTTTATTTGATAGCCTTACAATATTCATTATGTGATTTGTTATTGGTTATTTATCAAATGTATTGTTTGTTTAGTGTGGCCTTATTACGGTCTGTCCGGAAACCGAAGACGATCGCTCAGCAACTAACCCATATTGAAATGGTAACTTTCAGAATAGAACAAAATTTAATATTTTGCAAGTGACGATGAAACTGTAATTTATCTCCTACTATATTCTTAGGAACGATTCAGTATAGACGTAGGGGTACGATTAAACGATTCAGTATGGTAGGGGTCGATGAAATTCTCCTCGCATTGGCCAATAACGACCTCGCTGATCTGGGCCGAAATCGAGTAGGTTTATTTGAAAATTCTCTGATTAGCGATTCCTTCCAACTATTTCCACTCCTAATGTCAAATCTCGTGGTTTTGTAGCTCTTATTCGGAGGAAAACAATTTCCAAGGGGCTTTTGAAACGTTTCGCACTTAAATGCGCTCGAAAAAATAAACAATAAAATATGAAGATCGAAAACAAATCCGATATAAGTGATTTGTTCAGAACGGTCCGATGGGTTCAATCGCCTTTTACGTGGAATGGTTCAACCGACTTTCCTTCCTTCGCTGCCACGGAAGTATTGCGACAACTAAAGAAGAAACACCGAGTTGAGGTTAGTTAGCCTGGTCATGTGGATAACCCCGATGCACATTCCACTATTGCTTATATCCATATTATTGCATCCAGATACAAATTTGCATGTGGCAATTCGCTCTGATAGCATGAGCGTGGACTGCAAGATTTTCTTTTCATGGACGGCTCGTCCCCCTTACTGTATCGAGGGGAGACCGGCCAATGAGGGGATATAGTCATCAAAGTGGCCCACCTAGGTGTCCAGTTAGGCCGATGTCAGACTTTGCGAATCGCGCGATTCGCTAGCGTCTGCGGTCGCGTCGCGGCCAGTGAATCACTCAATTGGCTGGTACCGCAACGCGACCGCGGACGCTAGCGAATCGCGCGATTCGCAAAGTCTGACATCGGCCTAGAATGTCCTGCTTGAAGCGCAAACCTTTAATGGGCACTCGAAATCGTTCGCAAAGAGGGAAGTAGTATAAACTCGTGCAACCATTCAAAATTATTTCAAGGTCCCCGACGTTCACGTCGTTCACGTTGAGAAATGCCCATTCATGGAAATGAAGTTTGAAAGGATTCTGATAGTGTGACAAATTATTATAAAAGGGGAGTCCACATGGGTAAGAGTTCAAATAAGGAGAAATATATCTAGTCGAAAGGGAAGCGGATTCTCGAAGGCTGCGGAACGATGCGCAATCCGCAACGGAGTTTATGCTTCCAGCGGCCTGCCGCTCGCGCCTCTGAACGCTCGCCGGTAGGTAACCCCTTGCCGTCTGATTTCAGTCGTGTGACAGAGAGAGCGCTATGATGACGCCAGAACAAACGGAATCGTCCAGCGCGCGAATCAACGGACAGGAAGGTGTTTTCCGGGCTTAGAACGACTATTTTCTTGGATTTTAATTTGTGCATCTTCGACCGCCCTTACCATGATCTCTAGAGGAATATTTTCATCGTTATCTACGCCTTGAGTAAAGAGTTTTTTGGAAAAATTTCACCTAGCATTAGATTTAGCAAATTAGTTTTATCACAGCTGGCGCACTCAATGACTAGATTTGCGGAAATTTTGAGGGAGAAGACGGGCCACTGTAGGGAAAGCGGAACCTGATAAGCGACAGAAATGTGTTCAGAAACTGGTCACTTACACAGTCGAAGATAATCTTCACCCTCCCCCTCGCCCTTAATCAGAAAAGTTATTGTGCTTCCAGTATTGTGAATTAATGAGAAAAGTAATATTTTCAGGTCATTGAGTATTTGATCGACGTGGCCAAGGAGTGCTGTGAAATAGGTAATTTCAACAGCTTGATGGCTATCGTGGCTGGATTATCGCTGCCGGCTATCACAAGGCTGAAGCGAACTGTGAGTTCCGAAGTTTAGCGCTAGAGGTGTGGGCAAAAGCTCGGGGGGCTAAACCGGCTAACCGCCAGCACTTTTGCATTACTGCAGCAGGGGGATCCATCACTCGTCGCGTCTCGGTAATCCCCCCCCCCTCCCAAGCGCACCAAGCTGCTCATAATTGATCCTTGCAAGATCTCTAAAGGTTCATAGTTCGTTCCCGTTCACAGGCCGGAGATTCAGTCCGTCATTCCTTTCTAGACGATAGCAGGCCCGACAGCCCAATTTCATAAATAAATCCCCAAACGAAAAGAAAATAAGCACAGTAGCGAAACAAATTAAATTCATTTTTTGGTGACTCGGTGTCCTTCTGCTGAAAGTATTTAAAATTATTCTCGTCAATTGATAACCTCTTAGACCGGTCTGATTGCTATTCAGTGCGTCTCGAGTGGAAAAGTCGACTTGAAAATCCTTCAACACCAACTACGACTCCTACTGCGGTAACTTTTTCGTATGCGAGGCCACATGGAAAGCGATCAATGAGCGAGCTGAAACCGTTGGCAGCTCTCAAAAGGTGACTTCATTTTGCAACTGCTCTGGCTCGATACTCATCATGAGATCGAGTTTCTATAGAAAAATAAAGCCGAGGTGGGGGTTAGAGAATGGATCAATTCGATCGGATTTCAGATTGTGGATTCCCTTCTTCGTGTTGCTACTGAAGGACTTGTTTCTCGTCTACCACGGCAGTGTACGAACGCTTCCTAACGGCCATCTGAATTTTGTGGTAAGTTTCAAAGCTTTTCCGTCTGTTATTTCTGAAACACTGCAAAGAAAAGGATTAGGAGCTCATTCCATGATTTTCAAGTAGCAACAATTCCGTTCTTTGAAACAGTTATACTTAAGAGCACATAGGAAGGGCCAATTCAGGGCTCCAAGGTGCGTGGCAAAAATGCTAGGGACTTATTTTGCCACGCTACTTATCCAGAGCACGGCTTCAGTAGATGCCACCCTGGCGTCTGCGTCTCCTTTTTCTGTACTCCTTGGTTTTTTCGTCCTCAGCAGGACTCCTGTCTATGTGTGCACTTTACTTCCACGGCACAACGCTGTCAGCCATTGCGCTGGGAAACTTTTTTGGGACAACGCCCTTTCGCACCTTTTCGGTGTTTCCAAAATCGCAAGTTTTTTTCTTCCCATGTTTACCATGAAATTTCTATTTCTCTTGGAACTTATGAGTAAATTGGGATCTCTACCGATTGCCCACAGGGGGAGTTAACCCTTGATGTATGTATAGTACCCGAATCAAATGCAAAAGCGGTACCTTTGTTTTCGGCGGTTCCTTTTGCTTTCTTACTTTGACGAGCCGAACAACATCGGCGCCTACTAGCCAAACTATCTGAATCCTATGCTGTAAGCGGGAGTTCTTTCAAGCTTTGATGTCATGGGAAGGCAGTTGACCAGTCCACTTCGCAATCATGCGATGACCTGTTTGCCCTAGCGGTATGCTTCTTCAGTATTTTTTAACCCATTCGCGACCGTGCGGCGTTTCTGGAAACTTACCCGTTTGGACCGGCTCAAGATGGTTACGAATTGTCGGCCGCCGGTGGCTACATTGATCCTCGCGACCTTTTCTTTGAAGTGAAGTGAAGTTAAAAACAAAAACTCCCGCTGAAAGTTTTCTTGTTGTGGTCACTCATTGCTTTGGTCATGAATACGACGCTTATTTATTGGCGTAGTCGCAAATTGTCGCCATCTTTCATTGACATAGTACAAAGCTTTTGTCACCAAAGTCTTTAAAAACTTCCATACAGGGGTTATTCAGCATCCTGATCACGAATGGGACATCGATTTCGCTGAATGCGCCGAATCATTTGATGCTAGATCCAAATTTGTGCTAGGGCCGAAGATGAATACCATGTTCATGATTAGGACCCTGAATAACTTCTGTATGCAAGATCTCAACAAATTTTGTGAAGACAGATGCTTCGCCATGCCGATGCAATTTGGCACCCTTACAAATAAAGTGTCGTATTCGCGATAGTCGATAACCTTTCATGAGGAAAGTTCCATAGAAAAATTCAATTTGTGGCACATTGACTTGGGCCGAGTTTCGAAGTTAATAAATTTGCTTCTTCGACTAAATCGAAGTAAGCAAAAGTTCCAACTGCCCAGGGCAGGTGCCATTTAAAGAAGATAGAAGATCTTAGATCGGAGGAAAGCATGTCAGAATTTGCAAATTACTCACTATATTTTCATGCAAAGTCCGTCAGCCATCGATGGCTGACACTTTCGCTAATGGCTTAATACTCACCAATATTTCACTAAGTCACTGTTATCTGAGCGTGCCGATTCTGGGGGGAGAAAAACCGAAAAAGTGAAACATTCAAGAAAAAAGATCTCGTCATGTCAAGGAATGCACTTCTGTGATGAATTACTCTCATGGTTCAAATTTTTCGATATGGAGAATGACCTTTTGTCACTGAAGCAGATTTATCACAGATATGTCACCAAATGGGGTTGTTTTACGTTTCAACCATTTGAAAGTCATTTTAAAATCGACTCGAAATCGAAAGAAGGGGTGGTAGCGTAGAGGGTAACAAAAGTTCTAGTGTCCATAGTTTGTAGGGTCAATCCGCTCTCAGACTTTTCCTTCTGTTTTTAAAATGTTTTTTTGCTGTACTTCCCGGAAGGATAGCACTAAGAACAGGAATTGACTGCTTCCTCCTTCAGAACATTTTTTTAGCGATCCTTCAATGCATCACTATGGATGTTAAATGCGTGGCTATACTAAAAATGTCCTGAACGAGGAAAACAATGATGCCCTTGTACTTTCTATTGGGGGATTATGAATTATAGACTAGAGTCCGTGTTGTTCCTGTGCAAAAGTAGAGAGTTACTTCAGAGGAACAAACGAGCTCCTTTTCAGGCCTTTTCTCAAATTGCCGAGCAGCTCCGCTCAGTGGTGCAGTGGAAAGGAGCGCATTGCTCGTTTCCTAAGAACGCATCTGTTCTACAGTACTTGCTGGTCTCACTGCTTTACGGCGAGAGAGGTATTCTATTTAATGAGCCTTCAGTTTTTCATTTTCGTCAAGGTTCGAAGAAAGAGCTTCGACGGTCCGTCAAATTAGATGGTTATCAAGGACTTTATGAAATGTGATGTATCAACTTTGCAGAGTTACTTGCTATTTTACCAGGGTGATGTGATTCAACTCTCACTGCCGCTCACGGCTGCGAGGGTATCAAAGAGGCCTGTGGAAAGCCGAGTTGAGGTGACACTGCGGATTAAGCGCTAGGAAGGAGAGCGGGGATAAGCACGGAGTGAATAGACAATCGGTAAATTCTTCTTCCTCATTTCCGTAGAGTTTCATTCACAGTGGGAAAATGTGGCCGAGGAAAACCCAACTCTAGTACGACCCCCCTCTGAAACGGGTAGTCTCGGTACGACCCCCTCCGTGAAACGGGGTCTCAATATGGCACCCCTCTCAATCACAGGACACTGACTCTACATGTACACACACAGAACAGAAAGAAACATTGACAGTAATGAGAAGAAATGATGAATAGGAATGGAGAACCCACCTTCACTCGGCGACAATAGCGCGAAAACCACGACTCACGTAAAGTTCCTGCAAAAAACAATGTACCATTGTGACACACACGACATTCTACGCGCATACACACACGACAGAAAAAAACAGCAATAAGAAAAAAATGATAAATAGCAGTAACAATGAGAGAGTTCTTGAATTTAAAGGGGCAGCTATTTCCTCGCGCGGCTGCGGCGCGGCTCTCGCGGTGGAGCGAGTTTTCATGAAAATTCGCCTCCTCCCCTTATGTTTCAAACCTTAATAACTTTCTCGAAACTTAATCTTTTGGAGCGTTGAAGGTGTGCTTCGAAAGAGCTTCGATTGCAGTTTCTAACCATCGCTGAAGTTGTTTTGAAGATGCCCTGTTCAGTTAGATTTTCCACGTCGAGTAAACGTCGAGGACATCAAAATTTCCATGCTGATTTTTGGTCTTTCTAAGACATTAACTTTCTTAATTCTCGATTGTTTGGGAACATGTGGATTGTTTTGGAAAGTAGAAGGTTTGCTCTTCCAAATGGCTACCTGATCTGTTTCGAAAAGTTCCTACTTAAAGAGAAATCTGCGTCGAGGAAAAGTCGAGGGGTTTTTTCTTCACTTGAAACAGGATTCTTTGTACATTACTGCTAGGAAATTCATTTAAAGGGGGGGGGGGGGGGGGGGGGGGGGGGGGGGCGAACCTTGAAATGCATTAGGTACGCATCTCTCGGCTGTCGCTGACACAATCAGAGACACTCAGCTCTATTTAGTTTCGGTCTAGTATACGCCATGCCGTCGGTCCTCGCTCGAAATTTTGAATCAATTGAAAGGTGTTGCGTGTGCATGATGAGTTGCTAATAAAAACCGAAGTGTTCTCAGCAGTGATCAAACGTAGGAGTTCTTATAATCACGTGTCAGCCTCACTTGCTTGCTCTCTCCTTTTCAACGCCTCTCTGACAGCATTGACGGCTCCGATCCAGGCTCAGCCGTCCTTCAGCCAAAAACCAAGTGCTGTTTCCGGCCCATGTACTCGTTACCATCTACGAAGCAGTGTCCTGAAGCCCCACAGGTTAAGGGAATCCTCGCCGCCTCTATGGCTACGAGGCTCTGCGCAGTCCATGCAGAAACAAGGGGGTCCTTCAGAGCGACCGTCCTTCAGCCCCGTCCTTTTTCAATACGGTTTCTTGCATATTGTAGGGCCGCATTGGAACACAGAACCATGTTTCGTTTCCGCTGAACGGCTTTTGCAGCACCAAAAAAGAAGTGTAAGGTACTGTTGATGGTTCGATACAATACGAGATTCAAAATATGATCAGGAATACTCTAAAGCCTCGATTTTCTCCTCGGGCATTTTCAACGATATAGATTAACAGTGGACACTATCACTCAATAAAATGTTGCGGTGCTTTAACTTCCTTTCACTTCGTTTTCTCGCCTTTTGAGAAGCCTATGTTCGTAGGTACGCGTGGGAAGGCTGAAGAGCATAACGATGGAACCTGCAAATAGTAATTCCTATTACGTTCACTTACGCTTTAATATTTTAATGACAAAGTAGAAAGGTGCTCCCTTCCACTCCTCCCAATACTGGATACCACGCCACGTCCGATACTGATACCAACAATTACGACCCCCCTCCGTCTTCCACAGGGGCAAATACGACCCCCCGTCGAGGAATTCCTCGACCGATATTCACCCTGCTTGAAATGTAACTGCGGTCACTCACTTGCGTTGCCCCTCCACCAACGATATGAACTCCCTTACTGCAATCCTCGCTTTTGGTCAGAAAGCCATTGCCTCCTGCGTTACTAAGTAGCTACCAGGACCAGGGCATAGGATAGCGTTTGTGTAGTGCCTGCCGTCAAGCTCAGGATATTACTCTCTTTTAGGGTTTTAAGTAGCGGTCACGAGTAAACGCGATTTGGCAACTTCAGCTAATTTCAGTTGGTAATGTCTAAGCGGTATGGGCATGAGAAAATTGAAGATAGACCGACCGGACATCTTGCCTGCGCAGACCTTGTAGGGCTTGATTAAATTGCCCTTTCTCAGATAAAGGACAAACGAGAAAGAACGGCGGAATACCCTCAGCTTCAGTTCAGGAATGTTAGGAAGAGGCGTTACGCGGTTTAGGTGGCACTTATAAAGCCAGCCAAGCTCACTCTCAGCCACGTTCAGCCTTTGAGAACGACGATATGGTCGAAACGTCAGACCGTCATTAAACTTTTCCCCTAAAATCTCGTTAATCTCGTTATCGGGGAAAACATTAATCATAAATGTGCTTAGTTTTCTCAAAGGAATGTTCGAAGTTATGGAAAAAAGAACGAAGAAACAAATTGTTCGATCACGATATCATCGAGAGGATTTCAGAGTCCATGTTGGCATCGTTCGAGTGCGAACCGGCTGAGAGTAACTCTGAACGCGAACAACTGAAGAAGCTCAAAGTTCGCTGATGTCCCAAAAATCTGTACCCGTTAGTATCTGCACAGATTTACACTCTTGAGTATCACATAATATCATTACTACCGTTGTTTCCTACCATCACGTATTACATATGAATAGGCAGAACTGTTTGATTTTTGGTTGATCCTGCATAGAATTTGTGAGAGTAGTTAGTTTATCATCTAGTCCTGAAGAAGCTTTATCGTTATGGGTTTTCACCGTTGTGTTCATTGTTCCATTCGTACTATACCTTCTATGAACTTCTATGGAGATTTGCAAATTTCTATGAAGATTTTCACTGTTTCTTCTTCGCTGTATTACAGAAACTTGTCGAGTTGATGGATCCATGATTCAGCCTTCAAAACCGCTAGATGGAAGCCTCTTCGCTTAGTGAGCACAAGGGTAGCCTGTAAAGTTTTCGACAAAACCGATAAACAGGGTGG